GGAGCAATTTATTTCAAAGTCGTGGTGCCTCTGTTTAGAGGAGCAATTTACATTTCAAAGTCGTGGTGTCTCTGTTTAGAGGAGCAAATTTACTTTTCAAAAGTTGTGGTGCCTCTGTTTAGAGGAGCAATTTACTTTTCAAAGTCGTGGTGCCTTTGTTTAGAGGAGCTTTGGTTCAAAAAAAAAACACAAAAGAAACAAAAAATGGAAATGTTGAGTTGAATCTTGATTGGGTGTCTACGTCTTTGCGCAGTTTCTGTTTCACAGAAAATGTGCAAAGAGGGGTAGCTGTAGACACCCAATTGGGTCTAGGCCCAATTCAATTTTTCTCCTGTAATTTTTTTTCTCTTCTTTTGTATTTTATGTATTTTATTATTTATTATTATTATTATTATTATTATGTATTAATATATGTATATCTGTATTTATTTATTTTTTATTTAGAGTAGATTTATATGTATTTTATTTATATAGTTATATATTTATTATTATTATATTATTATTATTATTTTTTTGTAATATATTTTTGGGTTTATCTTATTTTATTTTTTAAATTATCTGTTAATTTTATCTGATTTTTTTCTCGATTATCTGATAGTATTATTATTATTTTTTTTCTTTTTTGATGGCTAAGATTAAATGTTGAAGAATCCTACTAGGAGTGGGGATTCAATCAAAAGAGTCCAATTGGATTCAAAGATTGAATCCCCGTCCAAGGAGGAATTGGGATTGATAAGGAACTCCTGATCAACCCCTATAAAAGGCACCTCCTGGAACAGATGCTGGACACACAGAAAATAGTAAGCAAAAGCTACTGATTGTGAGTATAGTGGCGTATAGAGAGCTAAGAAAAGGTTTAGGAGTGTTCTGGGAGTGAGAAAAAAATTTTTGAAGTTTTTTGGTGATTTTTTTTTCTGGGAATTTCTGGAAATTTCAGATTCCGGTGAATTTTTCGGAGAAGTTTGAATTTTTCGACGAAAATTTTGGCAAAACTTGAAGTTTTCGACGAAGAATCCCAGAAACCGGTGATCTTTCGGCCAACTTCCGATGAACCTCCGACGAAATTTCTAGATTCCAGTGACATTTTCCAGAATCCGGCATCGGTGTTCTTTAGCTTTTAGAGAGAAGGGAGAGAAAAAAGGGAGAGGAGTGAGAGAGGGGAGAAGGTTTCTGTCGAAAAACGAAGAGAACTGCCTTTTATACCCTCTCAAAACGACGTCGTTTTGGCTTTAAGTAACCTAGAGGATCCACGCGTTTTGCCGAAACCCGACCCGACCCGAGCGTCGACCCGTTTCCTGACCCGCGCGTGCCAGCCCCCTCTGAGCCAAGTCGAGCCGAGCCGAGCTGAGCTTCCCGAGCCGCCAACCCGAGCCGTTTCCCTTCCTCGAGCCGAGCCGAGCCAATAGCCGAGCCGCTCCAGGTTTTTTTTTTTTGAAATTTTTTTATTTATTTTATTTATTTTTATTAGATTAGATTTATTTGATATTTTTATCTTTATCTTATTTTTTATTCTTGTTTTACTTTTCTTTATTTTTTTTATCTTTATTTATTTTCACTTTTATTTTGTTTTATTTTCTTTAAATAAAAATCAAAAAAAATATTTTTGGGGAAAAGTTGAAAGTATCAATTTTCCTTAAAAATAAATTTCCAAAAAGGATTTTTGAGGAAAAGTTGGAAGTATCAATTTTCCTTGGAAATCAAAGTTTCAAAAAAATATTTTTGGGAAAAAGTTGAAAGTATCAATTTTCCTTAAAAATAAATTTTCAAAAAAGGGATTTTTGAGGAAAAGTTGAAAGTATCAATTTTCCTTAAAAATAAATTTCTAAAAAACATTTTTGGGGAAAAGTTGAAAGTATCAATTTGCCCTACACAAAAAACAATCATTCTTTCCTTCCTTTCTATTTTGATTTTTATTTTGATTTTTCTTTAAATAATCCGACGACGGAGCATCTGTAAGTGAAACAGTAGTTTTTCTTGCATACTCTTGAGGTGAGGGAATTTTCTCAATTTTCTGCTAAAAGTATTAGAGTTAATTGAGAATAATTTCTAATAATTAATTAATTGGTAAAATTTTAAGGTTTATTGGATAACATAAATTTAAGCTGGTACCATCTTTTAATGAGCGTTGTGAGGGTGTTATAACCTTCCTCACACATAATCGAACTCCCGAACCCTGTTCTGGTTAGTAGACCTGAACCTATTCTTCTAGGGACCCTTAAACTTAGGTGTCCCCTGAAAGGACAGATTCCATAGGTGGCCAATCGCACCTAGACAAAAAAGATTGATGGCGACTCCCTAAAAGTCAATGTCAAGCGATAGATCCTCGGATCTAGACGTTATGACACTTATCATGCATAAATATAAAAAAAAGAAGAAAAAACTTAAAATAACAAAAATAATAATGTATAAAAAATTAGAAAATTCAAAAAAAATTTTTTTTTACCTGAACCGGATCGGTCAACGGTTCGATCAACGGCAATTTAGGTCGACAGTTCGATCCGACGATTCGGGTGCGGTTCGGATCGGTCTGGGCACGGTTTGGTTGGTTCAGCGATTCGGTACCGGTTCAGTCAGACCGATCAGAGCCTGATGGAGAAGTGGGTCGCGAGTAGGGTGCACAGACCCCGGGTCGGGTTGTGGGTTGATTCGCAGATCCTGGTTACTTAAAACAATGTCATTTTGGGCGTTTATTGAAAGGACGTCGTTTTTTTGTTTTCACCGTTTATTTAAAAGGTTTAATTTTTTTTTTAGCCATTCTTCTTCCTTCTCCAGAAAGAAAAACCCTTTTTTTCTTCTTCAACCAAATGCAGTGCCGGCCGATCGCCGTCACCGCTGCCGTCACTATCGTTCACAGATGATCGGCTGCCGTCGCCGGTGGTCAAAAAATTTTCAAAAAACACCAAAATATTCCCCTCGGTTCCCTGAACATAGATCCGACCTTCTTTTCGGGAGAACAAGCCCCGATCGACATAGATCGGGGTTTGAACTTTTCTGAGTTTTATGTTTCTCTTTTTTTTTTTTTTTTTTTTTGTAAAACAAAGACTAATTTGATTTTTTTGTTCTTGTAGGTAGCTTTGGCGCTAAAGTTCCTCCTTATGGAAGGACTGTGTTTTTTTGTTTATTTTTTTTGGCAATATTTTTTTTCACGACGTCACCCTGCTTTGTCTTTTTTTTTATGTTTTGGTTTGGCTATGAGCTCTATTTATAGAGCTCCGACCGTACGTGTGTTTGATGGAAGGGCACAAGGCTTGACATGGGGTGTAAGCACGAGCCCCATGCCTTATTATTTGTTTCTGTCTTTTTTTTGACAGTTTGTTAACGGGATGAGTGATTAGAGGGGTGGAGGTAGGGTATGGTGATCAGAAGAATGGGGTGTAGGGTTTGGTGGCAGTGGTGTCGGGGAAGGCACCACTGCCATCCTCGATTTTTCTTTTTTTTATTCTGTTCTATTTTTTTATAATTAATTGATTTTAATTTTAATTAAACCAATTTTATTATTATTATCAAAATCGGTGTCTACAACTCTTTAACTCACTAAACAAAATTAAAATATGAGATTTTAAATGGAGATAATGTATTTTTTTAATAGATAGATAATATATTTTAGTGAACATTATTTAGGTTATTGTCATAAAAATATAGTGACAATGTAATTTTTTAACTTTACAAATAAAATTAAAAAGCTGCCAAATGTTTCAATTTCCTTTTTAAATTATTTTTTATTTTTTATTATACCCTAAAAGAGTGTAAGTAAGGGATAATCAAACTAAAAACCATATATATATATATGTATTTAATAATTATATCAAATTGTTTAATAACAATTTAAAAATCTTATGTAACAATAACCTTAAATCATCTTAAATCTCAAAAATTATTAAATTAGATTACTATCTTAGAGAGTGATTTAATTTTCAACTTTAAACATGTGAAAATTTTATCATAAAAAAAAGTAATTTATAATATTATTTTTTATTAATTTATCTTGACAAAAAATGTAGTTAACATTGTCCAAATAAGCTAGTTAGTAAAAACTTTCAATAAATATCAAATCATTTATTTTTATAAATTTTTTTCATAAAATAACGTTTAGCTATTTTATAAATTATTGTTTCAATAAATATTAAATCTTTTACTTTTTTTTACATAGTTATTTTGGATATTTTGTATTTTATAATTTATTTTTTCATATACTATCAAACATAGAAATTTAAAATCACTAATGATTTATAATATTACATCAAATATAATAATCTAAGATAATCTGTAATTAAATTAACTTTAATGATATTATCACCATGATAATTAAATCACCATAATGATTTTAAAAAAGATACAAATACTATTTAAGGAGTAGACATCACCATATTAATTCTAATGATATAATTTAAAATTTTCACTATAATTGGACGTGATAATTTTTCAAATGGAAAGTTATGGCTATGCATTTTCCTTTAAACCCTATCTTTAAGGAGAACAATTCTATTGAGCCTATACTGCCTTTACTTTTTTTTTCTTCTTCTAAATTCATTTTTTCAATACGCTTTCTTTTTCCCCTTTTTTTTGGAATATATACATGATCAACAAGAATTTCATATTTTCTTATTTAAAAAAAAAATCTCATATTTTCTAGTACTTAAAATTTGTATAGACAGTCATACATATTAGGGTGGGTGATGCAATATTTTGTTATTTTTTTATTGAATTTCTGTTTTCATTGGATTAAAGGAAAAAATATAAATTGTTTTACAAGATTAAAAATTTCAGTGTTTATGCCAACGAAGAAAAAAAAAAATCTCACCTCCACATTAAACATTAGGAAATTTAAAGATGTTTAAATGACTTTGGAAGACTTATAGTTGACTTGAAATGATATAAATATAGGCCTCCATTAATCCACTTTCGTATAGTATCTCTCCAGCCTCAAGCCTTAGCACATTTTCAAATTCATTTCCCTAAACCTCTGCCTCCTTTCATAGCTTGTTTCTGAGTTTCTGGACATGGGAAAATTTGTCTGGTTGCATCAAATCCTCTTAGTACTGTTGTTACCTTCGGGAGTCGATTGTTCTCTAAGTTTGTCTTCCTCTTCTCTTAATTATTCAACTCCTTTATGTCTACCAGAAGACAGCTCTGCCTTGCTCCAATTCAAGAACACCATTTCCATTGATGATTCTGGCACTGGTTTCTGTCCTTACCCTTTCGCTTCTTATTCAAAAACAAACTCCTGGAATGAAAGCGCAAACTGCTGCTCATGGGATGGAGTCACTTGCGACAAGGTGACTGGTCATGTCACCGGCCTCAACCTTAGTTGCTCTTTTCTTGTTGGCTCTTTTTCTGAAAACAGCAGTCTTTTCCGCTTTCAAGGACTCAAACGACTCAACCTTGCTTACAACAAATTCAATGGTTCTATCCCTTCTGGGTTTAGCCAGTTAGTAAGTTTGACACATCTTAATCTTTCTGGTTGTTCCTTATCTGGTTTAGTTCCATCTGATATTTCTCTGTTGTCAAAACTAATTTCACTTGATCTTTCTAAGAATTCTTATTGGGATTTGGAATTTGACAGCCGCAGTTTTGACAAGCTTATGCATAACTTGTCAGAATTAGAAAATCTTTTCCTTGACCGTGTAAACATGTCTGATGTTTTGCCTTCCTCCTTGATAAACTTGACTTCATCTCTAAAGCGTTTGGGTCTCGGTAATAGTGAGTTACAGGGGGAATTCCCTACTGAAATGTTTAACCTGCCGTACATCGAGTATCTTGATATAAGCTCGAACTTTGATTTGAGAGGTCATCTCCCTAGATCAAATTGGAGTAGTCCCCTTACGTTCTTGGACCTTCGCTTTAGTGGTTTTAAAGGGTCAATTCCTTCCGCCCTAGGTAACCTCACAAAAATCACATTTCTAAGTTTAAGCTACTTTGAAGGAGAACTCCCAAATGTCTTTGGAAACCTTAATAAACTGACTACTCTGCATTTTTATAACTGTAATTTCAGCGGTCAACTTCCCCCAACGTTGTTCAATCTCTCACAACTTACTCATTTAGATTTATCATTCAATAGTCTTAATGGCCCCTCCCAACTCAAATAAGCGGGCTTCAGAATCTGGAAAAATTTGACTTGTCTTATAACTTATTGAGTGGAGCAATTCCATCTTGGCTTTTTACTCTGCCATCTTTAGAATATTTAGACCTCAATCGTAACAGGCTTACCGGTCCAATCAATCTGATTCAAAAGCCTAATTCAGTTCAGCAAGTGTTTTTGGCCAATAATGACATACATGGTGAAATACCAAGTTCTTTCTTTGATCTTGCAAATCTTACCCAACTTGATCTTTCATCAAACAACTTGACTGGCGTCATCAATTCCGCTATGCTTTCAAAGCTTGGGAATCTTGAAAAACTCGATCTTTCATCAAATAATTTTAGTGGCGTCATCAAGTTAGATTTCCTTTCAAAGCTCAAGAATCTTACAACACTTGATCTTTCAAATAACAGGCTGCTATCTTTGAGTAGCAGCGTTGGTGTTAACTATTCTTTTCAAGAGCTCCAGACTTTTTCATTCTCTTCTTGCAATGTAAGGCAGTTCCCAAATTTCTTAAGAACAGCAAAGAAATTGAGAGTTCTTGATCTTTCTTTTAACAAAATTCATGGCTCAATTTCCAAATGGGAATCAGAAGGGTGGGAAGAATTGCACAGTTTAAACCTTTCTCACAACTCACTGATTAGTTTAGAGCAATTTCCAGGGAAGCATCTTGAAATCCTTGATCTTCGTTCCAACAAACTCCGAGGTCCTCTTCCAGCTTCACCACCTTCATTGCGAGAGTTTTTCGTGTCCAAAAATCAATTGACAGGAAAAATCCCTCCTTCGATTTGTAATATGACTTCACTTGAGATTCTTGATTTGTCTGGAAATAACTTGAGTGGAATTATCCCAGCGTGCCTTGGAAATTTCAGCAATTCAATCTCAACCATAAACCTACAGAAGAACAACTTTCATGGCAAAATCCCCGATTACTTTGTTCACAATATTTTGTTGACAAATCTTGCCCTTAATGACAACCAATTGGAAGGGTTATTGCCACGATCCTTGATTAATTGTACTCTTTTGAGATTTTTAAATTTGGCAAATAACAAGTTAAGGGATACCTTTCCCCATTGGTTGGATAAACTTCCGAATCTTCGTTTTCTTATCCTCCGATATAATAGATTTCATGGTCCCTTCAACATTTCCATAGTTCCATCTTCCTTTCCATCATTGCAAATAATTGACCTCTCTCAAAATGAGTTCAGTGGCGTCTTGCCAACAAAATTTTTCCAAAGTTTGGAAGCTATGAAAGTTGTGAAAGATGAATTGGAAGTTACGAAGGCGGCATTGGAAGTTACGATGGCTGCAATGACACGTTCAACTCCAGCCATCACATGTCCTCCATCTGAACCATATGGGAAGTGTCGGCCACGGACGTTTGCTTCAATTGGTTTTGATAGTTTTGTGAAATTAACAATGAAAAGGTTGGAGATAGAGCTACAGCTGGAGAAAACATTACCCGGTTTCACACTCATAGATTTTTCAAACAATCGATTTTCTGGACGAATCCCTGATGCACTTGGCGAACTTCATGCTCTTTTAGTGCTCAATCTCTCACACAACAACCTAAATGGTTCCATCCCATCGTCATTTGGAAGTATGGAAGCAATTGAATCATTAGATCTCTCGTGGAACAAGCTTGGTGGCAGGATTCCTACTCAATTGACGAATCTGACATTTCTGGAAGTGTTGAATCTGTCACAAAATAATCTCATCGGACCTATCCCGCATGGGAATCAATTTGATACTTTCGAAAATGATTCCTATAGCGGCAACTTGGCATTGTGTGGCCTCCCACTGTCAAAGAAATGTGGCGACGCTAAGGGACCAAAACCACTTACAACAGTGTTTGTGGAAGATGAAGGTTCTGCAATACCCTTTATTTGGGACCTTGCAATGATGGGCTATGGATGTGGATTGGTGTTGGGACTGAGCATGGGATACATTGTTTTCACAACTGGAAGACCAGGTGGTTTGTTAGAACGATTGAGAGAGATTGGCAGAAGAATGTTACGAGGTGGATTCGCAGGAATGGAGGAAGAAGAAACTAACACTGCATCCAAAATACTCATGTGAGTTTTAACTATTTTGCAAAGTAGAATTTTATTAGACTCTCATTGCTTTTGTAATTTAGAGTTAATCTTTCCTCTTTCTTTTTTTCATATTTGCTACAGTGGCAATCGGACTGAATTCGAGGAAGATATGCACCCTGCTTCCATAGGACCTGGCTGGAAAGTGCATGTTTTCTATCATCTATGTTAATTTTCTCTGTGGCAATGGTTCAATAATTGAGTTGTTCATTGAAAATCTGAATGGTTGAGCAACTCGGTACTGTGATTCAGGGTCTTCTTACTTTTCTTGTTTAGCTCTATTGATATGGTTGTCTTCATAATTTCTGAACTTGTATCTGTTGTGTTTTTTCGTGACATTATGTTCTGCTCTGTTTTAGTGTTTTTCCATGAGAGGTTAATGAGTTATCCCACCGATTATTGTTCTTTCTTTTGAAAAATCTTCCGCTTTTGGTATTATCTCCTCTTATGGAACTCCAATTGATTAATTATTTATGTTGCTTAATGTCATTAATTAGATTATTGAAGGTTAATTTCTTTTGGCCTTATTGGTTAATCACTGGTTGCATGGTTTTTTTTTTTTTTTAATCTAAAACAATCGGAATTTGAAATTTTACTCTCTGAAATTAAATGTCCAATAACTTATCAACATACCAATATGACTGTTGGTCAATGGCCACTGGTTGCATGGTTCATAATGTATATTTTTGCAATATATCTAAATTTGTGCTTTCCATTATGTTGAGTTTTATTGAACCCATATTATTTTTTATGATACTAAAACTCTCTTGTTGTTGTTGTCTAATGAGGTCGATAAAATGTTTCAAATTTAGTAACAAAATTTATTAAGGATTAAGTTTGACCAAGTATTTAAGAAAGATTAATCTAGTAAATGAATATAGACTTGGATTGAACGTTGCAAGAAGTTGTTCAAAGAATTACTTTGAAGCATATTGTGGATGTAATTGATCTTGAAATAAAGCCAGTGATCAAAGATCAAGAGGAACAACCTTTGAAAATTATTTAAATCAGGTAGAATTGAATTAGGGAAGCATTCATCACCTAGAAGGAAAAGAAGCAAGAAAGGGCTACGGAAAAGAAAGGCTGATAAGGCATCCGATTACACTAAAATGAGGTTCCAACTGTCGAAGAAAAATTTTATGAAAGAAGCTAAAAATGTTAGGCATTCGATTGCTCGTATATAACATTCCACTCCTAAGCCATTTTCTGAAACAAAAGCTTATCGAAGAACAAAGTTGCCTACTACCTGCATTCAGTAGTCGACTGTCCGAGTTATTTTCTATTCCAGAAGCTTATCATGACTAAACCAACTGACTATCCGAGTTTGCCATCCGATTGCCCAACGCCTATACTCGAGAAAATCATCCTCCCAATGGCTTTATTTTCATTTTTGGCAAGAGATCTTCCATTTGCAATGCCCAAATCAAATCTACAATAGCTAAAAAGTCTCCTACACCTATAAATCCATCCAAGGAAGAAAGCTTAAAAATAAGGAATTGAGCTTGTGGACACCTGTTTTGTCCAAAAAATATAAAAATAAAAAAAAAAAGTAAAAAAAAAATTTGGTTTCAACTTTGGCAATTCAAATAGTGATTTTTTTCTCCCTTGACACTGTTTAACTTGATAGCATGAAATCCAACGACTAAAAATCACCGAACAAGTTTTCAAAATTTTCCACAAAAGGATCTTAGGAGATATAGGATTTGAATCCCAAAAGCTCTATAAATAAAGTTAATTTCTGCAAAAAAAAGGCGAACAAAAAAAGGGGGGAAGAGAACACTGTCAAAAAAATATAAAGCAATTTTTTAGGTTTACAAGGTCATAACTATATATAAAAAAAAAAAAAAAAACACCACAGTCCTCCCAAAGAGGAACCACCAGCAAAAAAAAAAATTGTTTCAAAAAACAAAAAAAAAATCTTTTAACTAAAATTGAAAACCATCATCTAGAAAGCTTGGGATTTTTTTTTAAAAAGTTTGTTTTAGGAAAAGTGTTTAGAATAGAAAAATGAGTATTTTGAGAAATTTTGGGAAATTTTAAAATTTTTTGGGTCACTGAAAGCTGAAAAAGTTTGATTTTTTCAACGACCTTTGAAATTTTTAGCCACCAAAAATTGCGATAATGGTCGAGGTCTGAGAATTTTTTATTCTTTTGACACTGTTGCAGATTTCAACCACCAGTACACAGTAGCTACTGGTCGAAATTTGGGTTGCTATGGTGGTCGGCGAGGGGGATAAATTTTTAGATAAAGAGACTTTGAAGGTAAAGAGAAAGGAGAAAGAAAAATTTTTTAAAAAAATTGATTTTGGGCCTTTTATAGCCCTTGCAAAATGATGCCACGTTTGGATCTGTGACTGACCCATGCCTTGACCTGCACCTGACCCAACTCGTTTGGTTAGATTTTTCTTTTCTTTTTCTTTTTATTTTCTATTTTAATTTTAAGTTTTTTATTTTATTTTGATTTTTTTGTTTGTTTTTATGATGATTTTATTATTGTTGTTATTATTATTATTATTCTTTCTTTCTTTCTTTCAAATATAAGTAAAAAATGAAAATAAAGTTAAAATAAAATGTAAATTTGGTAAAATAAAAATAATATGCATAAATCTTAAAAAATAATAATAATAAATATTTAAAGAAAATAAAATTTTATTGCAAGCAAAAATGTTATTTAAATTTCATCAAAATGTTGGGATAATTTAAAAAATAATTTTTACTAAAAAAATAATAAAATTTTAAAAAATATATAATAAGATAAATAAAATAAAAAAGAAATGATAAATTGTTTAAATGAATCTCTTAAATGTAATTTTTAGAGATAATTGAAAGAGTTTAGTTTTCCTTAATTATTGCAAATAAAAATAATTTTTCAAATTTCATAATAGAGTTGGAATAATCTAAAATTATTTTTAGTAGAATAAATGTTTATTTAAACAATATAAAAATAATACAAAATAAAAATAATATAATAATAATTAATATTTTGAATAAATATTTTTTAAAAAAATTTATTTTTTAAAAAAAATTAAAAGAGTTCGATTTTCTTTAGTCCAAGTAAATGATTTATATTTTTATATTTCATTAATGAATCGGGATAATCTAAAATTTTTTTAATAAACAGTAAATAATAACAATAAAAATTGATTAATTAATTAAATCCTTTAATTATCAAAAATAAAAAATGATTTCATTTAGGTTCTCATTAAAAAGTTGGGATGATCCTAAAACTTGTTCAAAATTTTTAGAATTTCGTCGAAGAGTCAGGGTAATATTAAATTTTGTTTAATAAATTTTGGGACCTTGCCAAAAAATCAAGATGTTCCTAAAATCATTTTATTAAATAAATAAAATATCTTATGATGATATTTTGAGAATTTTGTGAATGGTCAATTTTCTGAAATATTTTCTAAATAAAGATTTTCTATAAATTTTGCCAAAGTGTTGGAGAATTTATAGAATATGAAAATAATAATAATAGTAACTTCACAACAAAAAAATATTTTTTATAAATAAATTTTAGAAAATTAAATTTAAATATAAAAAAGACCACATCATCAGGATTAAAGGATTACACATGTTTAATTAGTACCATTTTTTGAACGGGTGACATGAGAGTGCTAATATTTTCCTCACTCGTAATCGTACTCCCTGACCAACTCTGATTTCGTAGACTTAAACTTCTTCTAGTAAATCTTAAATAATTTTAAGATTTTTATTAAAAGATAATATTTTGGGGTTGCCAATTACACCTTACAAAAAATATTGGTGGCAACTTTGTAAATTTTCACTAAGATAACAATCTAGTTTCCTCGTAAGAAAAATCATTATGACATGTTGGCGACTCTACTAGGGATGACTAGAAAGTCAAGCAAAAAATCAAACATGTGTCATCTAAACTTTGAATTTGTGGTCTTTTTTATATTTAATTTTAATTTATTATTTCATCTTAGAATTAAAATAAGGAAAAATTTTGATGGATTCATTTAGTTTTATTATGTCATTTTATTTGTCTTATATTGTTGCTAATTATATTGTTGATTTTATTTTGATTAATAATTGTTACATTCCTTCATATACATGCACATTTGCATCCATACATGTGCTTTATACCCAATCTCCCAAATCTATTCCTTTTTAGGAAGGAGTAGAGTACCTACACTTTCGTGAGGTTATAATACCTTCGGTTGAGCTAGCAAAATACTTCCATTGAAGTTGAACCCTTTCCATCGGCAGCCTATTATGAGTGAAGATTGGGAGCTTTACTAGTCCAGAGTGGATGACGGTTAGGATCAATTTGGGAACCTTTTTAGCTTGTGTTAATTACCAAACCATGCATATAGTGAACCTTAAGAAACCAACATTAAATAGAGCCATACCATTTTTGTAGATTATACTCTAAATTAGGACACATGAGGGAATATTTACTTTAATACGATTACTAACCCTATTTTATTCTGCTTTCCATATGTTTCATGATCATGCATTGTAGATACCCATCTGTGTTCACGGTCAATAGGATTATTTTTATTAGTATTATTTTATTAGTATATTATTAGATTATTATATTATTATATTATTATTATATATATTAAAGTATAGTATATTAACATAGTATATTATATTGTAGTATATTTTTTTTTATTATTATTATTATTATTATTATTTATTTTATTTTATTTTTATTTCCTTCTTTTTTTTCTTAACTAAAGATCGAATTGAAACTGAAATTTGGAAATCAATTTAGTCAAAGGCTTTAATTTGTAATCAATGGATTTTCGGATAAATCTAGACAAACTAGCAAAAACCTAGCTAGGAATCATGCTCGGACAGAACCAATCTAGGCTTGAATCCTGAGATTCATTTCTATCTGACTCCAAAAAACTC